AGCAGTCGCGCTGCATAGAGCGGTGTGGGCCAGCGACTGAGAAGAGGCGACCAGATTCTGAACACTAGAAACGCGCAGGATAATTTGATACATGACCCTACGCGATGAAAACTGCATTACGAACACCGATGTGCGGTAAATTTTTGGAGTTGCTCCGATTGCGGAATGCGCGAAGTAGAATTACGAGGTATGGTCACGTTTTACGAAGTGATGACAATACAGTAGCAAAAAGCGCACTTCGCTTAATTCCACAAGGAAGATCTCCCATCCGGCAGCAGCAACGTTGGCTGGACACGATTGGAAACGATCGCACATGGCGAGTCTCGCACTACTAAAAGCAGCCAATCGATTCAAATGGAAATCAAGATGCAACAAGGACAGACACTGTCCCTAGGACAATAGGTAAAGAAGAAGATGGTATGTCAGTTTTTGTGGATTTCTACATACCATCTCAATCACAACGGTTGCACCAGCAGCTCAGGTCCCGCGCGGTTGCCTCTTCTGGCCTCCGCGCCGCGTCTGTGCCGCGTTGACCGGGCATTTTGCCGGATGTATGTCGAAAGGTGCGCGTTTGGGCAGACACCATTGCCAGACTAGATTCGTATTCCACAAAGGCGAGGTTTTCAGACCCCCAAAAGTTCTCCCAGTATATATGTAATCGTAAAGAAGGGTCACGTAGTTAAAATCTGGATAGAACAAGATAATTCTTCTTTTCTGGTTTCTCCTAATTAAGGATAGCCGGTCAATTCGCGCCATTCGACCGTTTTCCCATTTTGCCTAGCCTTAGATGGAGCCGTCGCAGACATATAGTCCTTAGACAATTTGCTAGGCTGACGTACGTTGACGTGGCCTTAGGCGTAGTTGTCGCCTTGGTAGGAATATCCACAGGTGTGAACAATACACTAGCCTGGCAGATTTATTGAGTCAGATGACTTCCGCATTGGAAGAGTGGTAGAATGCTGATGATGACAGGCGGACCAAGTAACTTAACGTGCATCTAGGCAATAAAACACTCATATCACAGCGGGTCATGCTTATGGCATCACCTTTACGATAATCTGGCGAAGAAATGGCACGATTGTGAGGAAGTGCCGACAATATCGACACACACCGGCCAGCGGGAGAAATGAAAACAACAAGATGAAGCACGAGTATAACATACAGATGTATCGAAACTATGTTCTTTGTCGGGATATCGCAGTGGACGTTGTCGAGTTGGCAGGCAGGTGAAAATATGGCTCATGTTAAACGTGGTGCGACAGCGGGAACGTTTTTGAGAACTTGAAGTGATCTGGATGCTGACGAAGTAAATCTACATTAACGTCTTCAGTTGGATGTGTAACACAATAGAGGTCCAGCTTTGTTCCCTCCATATCGGTGCAGTTGAGATCGTGTTGTTTTAAATGTCTTTTGCCCACAATCTTCCCAGCATTGCCTTAGGCTCAGGCGTCATGACCTGTGTCAGGGCTAGACTGGCAATACCTTCGCATGCTGCTATGTCGCTATGCATGGGATCTCCACAGGCCGAGAATTTGCAGTTGGAAATCTCGTCTTTGCGGCCTTCGTTGCCGTCATCTTCAATTGTTGGAGTTTCCTCCTTCATCGTCGGTGTATCGGTTGAGATAGAATCGCCTAGTTCTGCTAAATCCTTGTTGCCCGACTGATTTCTAGGCAGAAAGGCATTGGGCTCTGGTATTTGCTCATTGCTACTTTTGAATCTTGATGCGGCAGAATTTTTCCTCTGTTCTATCCTCTGTTCTATGTTCCTCAATCCCATCCTCGCTTCTAGTTCGCGTTCTTCTAGTGTGTGAATAAAGACCTGGGCATCGATAACAATTTGAAAATGACCTGTCTCGTTGAGCGAATTCAAATCTTCTGCCATCAACTTCCTAGTAAATTCGCACTTCTCGCTTGAATTCAGCCTCTTTAGCACGTCGATTTTCGATTGTACCAAGGGTAAGCCGTACGACGTCGAAGATGCAGTTTGGTAGCACGTGCAGATTTTGAATGCATTTTCTGCCGCTCCTGTTCATCGCCTGGAAATAAAATTTTCTCACCAAGGTTCGCGTGCTTTCGTAGTAGTTCCGAGAGTCTCTTGGCATATCTCCTCACATCTTCCATATGGAGATGTAGAGTCGTTGTTGCTCCATTGTGACTTCTGCTCTCTTATCCTTGGAAGCGGAGCATGGTATATGTCACGTTTAGCCGATGCACCAGAATGTTAGGCTGGCGTACGTTGACGTAGCCTTAGGCGTAGTTGTCGCCTTAGTAGGAACATCTGCAGGTGTGAACAATACACTAGCCTGGCAGATTTATTGAGTCAGACGACTTGTCCGCATTGGGACAGTGGTAGAATGCTGATGATAACAGGCGGAGCAAAGTAACTTAACGCGCATCTGGGCAATAAAACACTCATATCACAGCAGGTCATGCTTATGGCATGACCTTTACGGTAATCTGGCGAAGAAATGGCACGGCTGCGAGGAAGTGCCGACAACATCGGCACACAATTTTTTGTTTCCTTTTCCAATGCTTTTGGCCCTCAGTACGACTCGTCGTACCTTGATATTGAATTATGCTCATGATTAACAGCATCAAACGTTTGCTTCAATAGCTCTCTTGTGGGAAAAACTTTCCAGGTTCTCCGAACACCGTATTGTAGAGCTGGCTTCAATTTAGAACAAGAATGAATGGTAGTATGTATAGAAGATTCATCGCATGCAAGGAGATTGCGTCACTAGGGACCCTCTCGGCGTCTCGCTAATAGAGCGCTCCACCCCTCTTGCCGTCTGCTGCCTCTCCCACGCACGAACTATCTTGGTCGGGCGCAACAGCGCCTAGTCTGTGTGTGGATGAATAGCCTGTAGTTTTCTGCGAAGATGCGCGTCTTGTTTTAGGTACAAAACAAGAACTTTCTTAGTCAAAGACGATGCTTTAAGTTGTGCAAGTGCACATAAGTTTGAAAGAAATCACTGGAACCACTCCAGCTGCTCTCTTCGAGTGTATTGTGCAACCAGTTCATCCATCACCAAATTTATTTCACAGATGTTTGTAAGGACAAATGAAACACACAGACCTCTACCACAGTTGATAGTGTACGCGGCATTGAATGTGAATGACAAGATGTAGGTGAGGTGTAACAACAAATCAATGACTAATATCACTCACACGTGAGATAATTTGGTTATGCTTTGATTCGAGTTTTCCTCCACACCGAGGCGGTAAAAAAATCACACAACGGCACGCGAGGAAAATGAGAGCATCTCGGGAGAGGATTAAAGCGCGATATGGTTAGAATAGCACTAGAGCAATGAGCACATATCGATTATAAATTGCCATCAGTTTTGAGAACATTCGAGAGAAACCACATGTCTTATACAGAACCACTAGAGTCCGATCACATAAGGAAGTGTTAAGTGCAAGAAATACGATTACAGAGTATTGATAACCGCTTGGGGGAACAGGACCTATAAGGGTATAAGAATACACAAGCGATCAACTACAGAGCGCTAGAAAAACCACTCGCATTTACTCCCGGCAAAACTCAACAAAAATCCAAATATTAATTTTCCTTGCTTGGTGTGAAGATAATCATTTGCGAGGGAGTCTTGAGAGCAGCTTTCCGCACTCGAACAAAAAATACATGAAAACTACACAACAAAATAGTACAGCCTTTCCATCACATATCGTAGGCAAAAGACACTAAACATGGGATACATGAATATGAAGAAAATAATCTAAATTAAAACTTTCAGTCAACACCGAAATCTTCAGATAACAGACCTCGAAAGGCAAAGAATCACGTTCGGAAATGAGTACTTCTTTCAGAAAACATCACAATGCATAAACAGCACCTAAGGGCAATTGCTTTTTTTTCCAGATTTTTTTTGAATGATGAAATGAACAACGACAACTACTTTTGAATAACAAATCGACTAGCTATCGAACCGATAATCTGCTGCAGAAATCTAGGCGCAGAAGCTCATTCACAGCACATTGACTTTCAAGATTAATGCCAGGTAACATGTCTAGCTGATGTGAGCGATTAGTATGAACAAGTGATTAGTGGGATGAAACACAGCACTGGATGAAAACCGCATTGTATAAGAGAATATCTGTACTTGGATCATAACACAGTGGCATTTGAGTGTAAAACAAAAGGATTAGAGCTGAAGAGAAAGAGAACATCGTAACAGCACACGTAAATGAGCAAGCCAAACCTTAACTTTATAAACTAATGGAAATCGTTTCAATACGCATAACAACTGGGAAGGGCATAACAAAATCAAAACAAACAAATTTTTAAACTTGCCTTCTATTAGTGTCCAAGGTAGTGGCTTAGGAAGTAGATGCATATCGGAAAAAACGACGAAGACCATAGTTTGATCCCATTTGTTATGATTAATAAAACGATTTCTGCAGAGGATACGATTCCCAGATTTGATCTACTGATGATGCAGCGAGCAAAAATTAGAAAAGATGGCATAAGTGCAATAAACCGTAACAGAAAACACCATCCAGATTCTATCAGAGAGAAGTTAATAAGGTCAAAGTAAGAGCAAGAGATTACAGTGATCGATTGCAGTATTTTTTAGAGGGGGGAAAATTTTCAGCAATTTTGCTGCATCTCGCGAATGCTCTGCACTCGCCGCATGTAAAAATGCTATAATTAGCGGGGTGCATTTTGCTTGAAACTCGTCCTATCGACGTAGATACGAATTATGCAGCATGCTAACAAAAGCAGAAACTATAACAAAAAAATCTAACCAGAGAGCCCCTAAACTAGCGAATCGGTAGAGACAATGGTAGCTGTGTGTGCTGCACGTAGACATATAAAGCATATCACGAGTTATTGACCGGTCGAATCGAAATCTGGTGACCATCTGAGAACCACAATGAACGCGAAGATCACTGCGAGTGCCCTAGCAGAGAAAAGCATGGAACGTACAATTTGGAGAAGACGTTGGACGTTAAGGCCACCATTTTTCAAGAATGGCTGGTTAAGAATCTATGAAAAGACAGCAAGATTACATGTTAGTGACTGGATTGCCTGCCTAATTGCAAACGGGTTGAGTACCAATCGATTCGTGAGATGAAGAAGGTTGGTCGTACGTGCACAGGTTGGTTATCGCATTGAATGCCGCATTTTCTGCTGCAGCTTCCATCGTCGAACCGCGGCCATGGCACACCTGAGTGGCATTTATAACATTCGGGAACATATGAGCGATATTATGAACTCACTATGGGGCGTTCCAAACCCAGCGACACCAGCGCAAAATACAATGGGTCACTTCCATCAGGTGACTGAAAAATCACAATATTGATGTATTATAACAGATACATCAGATAATCTCTGTCTCATTTACATCTGATAAAATGATGACTCAGACGCCGATGAATGAAGCTAGTGCGTCTACCAAAAAAGTGCAAGAAGAAGCGTAATCTTTGGAGCAAAAACACAAACTAGAAGCTACCCAGCAGTGACGTACACAGGAAGGAAGGGCGGGGGAAGGGCGACGAAAATTTTTTCCTGATGAAGGTGCGTGATGTTAGCTACGCACACAGAAAAATTTTTTGGTACGCTTCTCAAAATTTTTGCGGGCCCATAACCTCGAAAAATAAATTGAATTTTCAAAGAATTTTAAGTATTATTTTAAACACTTACAGATATAAACAAGTTACTTGCACACTTTCACAACTCATGTAAGTAAGCTTCAACCCCCCGCCCCCTCGGTACGCCACTGCTACCCAGTGACCGAAATGGTTCGTTCAAGTAGTGAGTAGCGCAATATCAATCAACTGTTATTTATTTATTTACTTATTTGGCGTACCTTTGGAAAATTCGTGTACTGCACGCTAAACTTGAAATTCTCCGATAGAATCTCTAAACGGCGCTTCGCTGTGTGCATTTGGCAGGCTTCGGTTTCAGATGAGCCTATAAGTTTGCACATTTACAATTTTGCAGTAAAACAAGACGAAAAAGTAGAACTTGAAATTACCATCCACGCAAGCTATCATTGTTGGAGTTTGTAAAGCCTGGATTGTAGCTCTCGCAATCTCACGAATCTCACATTTTTGTTCATCAGACAAGCACCTTGAAAGGACAAAAATTATCAAAAATCTGACTCTGAGAGCAGAGAAAGCAGAAACATCAGAAAGTTGACCTTTTCGCCTCTTTACTTCTTCTGATACGCTTCACACGACCTTCCACTAAGACATCCGCTTTGAGTGGAGCTAATTCGGGTTCTGGATACTTGCTGTCATCTACAAAGGTAAAACGTTTATGAAGGGATACTTGAACAAAACAGCTTTGATAAACCTGGAGGAGGGCAAGCTTTCACTTGATTGCTGAAGGTCACACGACGACGCCCTGGTGATGGCGGAACGGTACCAGGTGATTCCGTTTCACCTTCAGGGGTTTTGTTTCCCTGTTGATTAGCATTCTGATCATCTATGCAGAGAGCTCTAAACAAGGAAAATACCGACAAGTCATTTATTAGGTTGAACACTAAGTTTTGCAACTATTCTCATAACTTTCCTCTCACTCAACATGGCGCACATAAATTTTGCCACTGCTTGGTTATTAGGTAAGCTACAAGCTCAGCTGCTGTCCTACCAAATTCGGACGTCGCAGTGAGGGTTACGGTAGGTGCATGGTATGAAGGAGAAAAATTCAAAGTTTGACGGATTTAGCTGAAATTTGGCATAGGGGTGTTATCCGACATGCTGATCACGAAAACGATAGTGAAATTGCGTGATAAGGGTTCTTTTGTAGGATTACTGTAGGTGTACGATATGGGGTCTCACCCTAAACAAGGAAAAAGGCGTTGATTCAACAAATGAATGTGATATTCGTGTCTGGCAGGTCAAATAACCTTACTATTAAAGTTTCGGCGGAATTTGACCTTCGGACTCTTTAGTCATTGACGGTCGTCCCCAGCAGCTCTTGCGTACATCGACTCGTTCGAGTTTATGCTCAGACTTTCGTTGCGTACCAGCGGCGTACCTAAATGGCTTTGCGTACCAGCGGAGTGCGCTTAACGTACCAACGGCGTTCCTTAATGCGCCCTACCAGCGGCGTTCCATCAACCCAAGCAAGCGAGCGGCGTCCCATCACATTACCCCACGCTGTAAGCGTAAGCCGTACCCGTATGGGATAGACGCAGTGGTTGGGCCGCCTCAGCATTTTAGTGGTTAGCTAACACTTCTCGGCACTTGACAAAGGAATAAGGTTGAGTTGTTGTTCTCATTGAGTGACCCGATAACACCTCGGCTGGGTGTTGTAGGGGTGGCCCACAATCCCCTGATTTCGATTCAATGGAGTCCATCGATCGAAATAGCAGGAAATTTTGCGCTGATTTCGGCTTCATAAAATATGACGATATAGCAATTTTCAAACCAATTAATGCTGCAATTAGTACGTAATCAAAAATCGGGTGAACATGCGGTCCGAAGGCGTACCCTCTTGGCGTACCAGCGGCGTGCCATTCTCCTGCCAGCGGAGTTCCACAGCGTACCAGCGGCGTGCGACTGCCCTACCAGCGGCGTTTGCGTGCTGCGCTCAGAGGACAGTCGAACGCCGCTGGTACGCAACGAAAGTCGGAGTGAGGACGCCAAATCTCGACATGCCCTAGGCCAAAGGAGTCAACCTTTAGCAATAATTTGTAGACGAATCCGGATTACTGCGCATGCTCTAGGCTGCCAAAGGCCTCATTTTAGCTAGAAACCCCAAAAATTCTCAAATTTCACTAGTTTTCGAAAAATGCCTGAAACTTTTCTATTTCGTATTCAAAATTCAGACAATTTGTGCTCGCTTGTAGCTCACATTGCATTCTACATGATGCCAAAGTTTGAGTGCGCCATGTTGAATGAGAGTGAAGTTATGAAACAAGTTGCAAAACTTAGTGTTCAACCTAATACTTTGAAACAATGTAGGAGTACTGACAATAATCCTTCCTGAATTGAATGTTCATCGTTTCCTTGAGATTCATGTTGTTCCATATGATTATCCGAGGGAACACCCGAATTGTTCGATACCGGTGGTGTAACCAGATCATTTGGATCAAAGACTCCTACAATAATTTATCTTATCATACTCTAATAAAGTCTAACAATGATCCCAAGAATACCTACCTATATTCAACTGAGAATCTGTTTTCTTTTTGAGCAAGCTTTTACCAGGAGGAGGTAGAGGTTTCACGTATCCAATTTCAGCTAACATCGCTTCGGCAGCTGCGCGTTTCGCAAGCCGTTTATTAGGACCATTTCCGCTGCAGACGCGTGAACCACAAGTAACCTAACGAATGTTGATTCGTTACGACAAAAGTCCGATATCAGACTTTTATTCAAGTCACGATTTACCTGCACAGTGAACTCTTTGTAGCGGCTCTGTCCCTGTTCAGAGATGAGCTCAAATTGCGGCTCTTCTTCATTTCTAGCTTGCAAAACTTGAATCAAGCGAGACACAGGATTGATCTGGTGTCCATAAGTTGGGTCCATCTTCATATCCTGCAAAAAAAACTTGATAATCGATGAAAGTATGCTTCACTCAGCACCTTTATGATGGTCTTTCTCTTTGGTTCCTTGGATGGATTCATCACGCGCTTTTGCAATTTATACAGAGATGAAGCAATAAACAGCGGAGAATTTTCTAAAATTCAGTGAGCAATGGTTGAGTGTCAAAAAAAAACGGATACAAACCTATACCACGCAGTCGCGATAGGACATTCGCACACGCATTCTGAGTAGCCTCCTTCTTCTTTCTCCCTTCTCCAACGGTTTCGACCACTACCTGGAAATGCAAACATGTGGTGTACGCAAACGGACATGATTTTTTTGCAGCACCTCATTTTTCGGATTTCGCAATGAGCATCGAACTACGTACGAGCGATCGTGTGGAGGTCCAACTTCTTTGACTACCTAAACGCGAAAAAAAGCTCAAATGCGATAAAGATTGAACGCCAAGTACTCACTTCAAACTCCACATTCAGCTTCATCTGCAAAGCACACTCATGCACCTGACTAATCACAGATTTCTGCTTGTGCTTAGGAACGCTCTCGCTATCAGCAGTGCCTTCCTAAACTGTGTTTATCGTTATAAAGCGATTGAAAACATAACGAGATACTAAATTCGCAACTTCTCATAACCCACCGCATGTTCCACAGCTCCCTCTGTAGTCCCATTCGTCACTCCTTCCTCAGACGTTGACTTCTGAAGCGAGGCTTTACGCCTCTGCTCATCTAACTTCAGTTTAGCATCTAGAGCTTGGATATGTGGACCAAGATATCCCAAACACTGAAAAAAGCTATGCTATAGTCGCATTGGCGATAACATGCAAGCTACCAGTACCTGAGCAGCAGCATTAGATTTTGCCTGCGCAAATGTGCTTCCTATGCCCGTGAACACGCGCCCAGGACCAATTGCAACGCTGACCATACAAAGTCTTTCACCAGGTGGCTGCAGTGGGGGATAAATAGCTCCTGTACGCGAAGTCGGTGGAACCATGGCAAATAATGGATTGACAGGAGGCATTGGTCCAATTAAAGGCCCTCAAACCAAAACCATTGAAGAACAACTCACACTCAAAAGATTCATTGGTAAATACGAAACAACAAATTACCACGCTGTATTCTCGGTGTTGCTTGGAGCAAAGATGGAGCAAACGGTTCTGGAGGAAGATACGCGGGTCGGTCAAAACTACAAACACCTTTTAAATCTATATTTAGCTACAAAGACAACGATACTACAACACAGCATATATGGACTTACCCATTGCGCATATCACTGCAACTGAGCGGAGAGGGAGTAAGCGCGGAGAAACGGGGCTGAAACGAACAATGATCAGAGTTTTTTCTTTTGAAAATAGCTATCTACCTCTCCTGCATAAGGTCAGCACAGCTAAACCATGTGATTTTATTTCTCACATTTTAGCATGAATAAATCGATAACTTCATGAATTACGCAAAAGGCAGACCCACAAAGCAAAACTAGCCTATCCTTGCCCTCCCAAACATTTGCGCTCTCATAGACGCTCATTAGTCAAATTTGAAAGCCTCGACATTTCAGTATGATTTAGACGGGTTAAAAAATTGTATCTATGTATCTAAAAATATGAGTAAGCGCGCTGCCTTCAATTTACCGAAACCAAGATTCTACGCTTACCGTTATCGGCGTCAGTGGCATCTTCGGATGATTATGCGATCGATAGATCGGTTCTGGTAGACCGAGGCGACGAGCTACATGTGAAAGAAGAACAGATGGTGAACTGGTATCTGAAAAAAAAACGAATAAAATCTACAGATGGAAAGGAAGCTGTACACCACCTTTCTTTCTTTTCTTCTCCGGTGGCATGGTTAACGATGTTCCAGCTAGTGCTGCAGCAGCAGCCGCTTGTTGAGCTTTCTTTATAGAAGCACCACTTCCTTCGAAAATCTGAGAAAAAACCAGTTTTGTCGATTAGAAACAAATTGTATGCACCAAGCAACACTTTCCAAACTCACTTCATCAGGGGTTAGTAGCAGTTGAACTGTAAACATTTTTTTATGAGCTGGTCCGCTCTCATCCATTAGTTTGTACTCGTGCTTCAACTGAAAACAGCAACCATAGCATATTCAGCTTTTGAAACCACAACGATGTTACCTTGTGAAAGCGGGCAAGTTCCGCTATACGGCACATGGGTGTCTTCTCTTTATCCTCCTGATTACTGTAGTTATAGACATTGCGTGAGCATACGTCACTACTGGTCTGATGCTGTCCACACCATGGTTGTGGATGAATGGATCGAGAAGGCACCTTAATATATGTAGCTGTCAACTTCTTGAGAATCACCTCCATACCAAGCTCAGCAATACTCCCCTAAAATTTCTGAACACATATTTCCAACACCAGTATATTGATATTACGGCAAAGTTTCGCACAAAAGAGAGCGCCTATTCAAAATCGACCAGATTTATACTTTCTATTCAGGAGTGCACGCCATCAAATTCATGTTTGCAAAATTATCCTGCATTTTAATGGTGCATTTCTGATTATGATACCAATAATCTTTTCGAAGACTGATAAATGGCAAAATCGCTTAGTGCAAACGACACTCAATTTGATAAGCCCTGTAACTGCGGCAGCGCCGAACTTATCCTCTCCATTCTTCATCCGGTTCAAACGTGACTTCATTGAACGACATGATTTGTCATTTGGGAGCGCATAAGAGAGAAACACTGAACGGAGTGAAATTCTATTGATTCATGCTGAATGACAAGTCATGTCGTTCAATGATGCCGCGTCTTGTTTTGAAGCGAATGAAGCGAAGAGGACCAGGTATACCGATCCGATCCGCCGCTTGCAGCGGCTGCACACCGTCGCCCTGCACGCCGTACTAAGGGTTAGGGTTGAAGAGCGAACACTCTTAGGGCCGCACGCACTGACATGGCCGCGAGGAGGGGATCGCAGCTTGAAAGAAAGCTTCATATTCTGAAGCTCCAGATATCTGGATTACACGCTGTCTACCCGTCCGTAATTATTCCTACTATCCTTCACTATAAACATGTTAAACAGGAGCGAGAAGCTGTACAGACCGCATTTTCCAGCTTTTGTATGATCCCTGGTGATCCCCGGCGCTTTTCTTTGAAGTCATTTTTCTTACTCCGAAGTCAACGAAAACCTTCCAAAGTTGTACTGAACATCTAACAAACAGTGCTAAGCATGTTGCTGATGAGAACAAATGAATTTTTGAAAAATCGAATTTTTCGGTAAACCCCAAATTTCGACCTGTGGATCATCGAAAATTTCATAACTTCAAAACATCATTTGTTCTTATCAGCAACACGCTTAGCACTGTCGGTTTAGAGAATCTGCACGACTTTGAAAGTTTTTCGTTAACTTCGGAGAAAGAAAAATGACTTTGAAGAAAAGCGCCGGGTATCATCAGGGACCACACAAAAGCTGGAAAATGCGGTCTGTACACCTTCTCGCTCCTGTTCAACATGTTCATAGTGAAGGATAGTAGGAATACTTACGGATAGTTACACAACGTGAAATCCAGGTGTCTGAAGTTCCGAAATACGAAGCTTCCTTTTAAGCTGCGATCCCCTCCTGCGGCCATGTTAGTGCATGCGGCCCCTACAGTCTGCCCCAATCCTAACCAGGCCAAAATTGGCATGGCGGGAATCCGTGTCGCAAGGGCATTGCGTCACGTCTACGGCTAACTAGTCTGCTCTCTACTCAATCTCTTCGCTCTCTGCGACAACGCGCGTATGCAGCGCAAATAACTAGCGCTGCGAGCGCGCAAATTCAGCCGTCGTTTCGGTCTGATCCCTAGTGGAACAGACTGCATAAGCGCGGTCCCCGCAAACTGCGACCGTTTGCTCGTGCTACTCCTTATAGTGTGCATTCTCGGGAAGGCTCCCCTCTCCGCTCCCCATCCCACTCGATCCACCACTGGCATCTATGTCTATCATGTCGGAATGCGTTTTCATGAGAAGTTTGATAACTTTTGAAAGCGCGGATCTCGAATGTGCAGCTGAAGCGCTCGCAATTTGTGTTTAAGCATACTCCGTTCAAAAGCTGGAATGCCTGAGTATTTTTCCAAAACTTCCTAGGCTGAAGGATGAAAGCCGAGCAAAGTGTCTAGACAGTCCTCCCCTCTCCACGAAAAGTACCGCCATCAAGTCCGTTCAGTACATGACAAGAGTGATGAAAATGCCAAGTTAGGAAAAAAGTGCGTGTCACCAGACATGATAAAATCGGCCTTCGGTAATCGGTAATCGACAAAGCACCGGGAACTTTCCAGAACAGTCATGCAAAGAATGGGCTCAAACCGATGAACTGCGCTGTCGTGCACCCAGAAGTTTTATATACACGACTGGTAAGCGAAAGCATTAGAGCGTTCCATTCGTTTCAAGCCAAAGAAGAAGGACCAAAACGCTTTGTTCAACTCCCACTTCTAATGTAAGTTCTTCCATCATTTTTCTGCTTTTAAGTGTAACGCACTCAAATTGGCAGTCCTTAGGTCATGACGTAAAGGCGGTGTCGCGACAAAATTTCATTTTCCAGTTCCACCTTTTCGGAGCCTTCTCGCCATGAGGAATCCATATCTGGGCTTTTTTAGCGCATGAAAATGGCAATGAGCTTTCCGAAGCTTTCCAGGTTCGTAATCAGTAAAGTTACGCCCGAAGACTTCCGCCCCGCCTCCCTCGTTCCGGGCCCCGCCCATTTGGCTTCGGAAAAGCTCATTCTTGCCATTTTCATGCACTAAAAAGCTCAGGTATGGGTTTCGTATACGAGAAGGCTCCGAAAAGGTGAAAACCTGGAAAATGAAATTCTCCAGAAACACTGCCTTTATGCAACAAATATAACACTTTGTTACAACTCTACCATTGCATACAGGAAGCAAGTGTACCGTAAATAAAAAAAAAGTTACGGACTGTTATAGATTCAGCTGAGGCTAAATTTAGGGGGGGAGGCACGCTAATTACCAAGACGAACTCATATTGCATGGCATTCACTATGGAGCAAATAACTATGATAGTCCCGTTTTAGGTGGAATTCCCCTATGATGCAAGATTTCGGCAAATTGTGTAACTTTGTTCTCTAATTACGATATTAGCCATTTTGCCTAGACCCAACTTTCCCAAAAGAGTCAGGTCTACTCTCTGCAGCTATTACTTCTTTGATGATTAGTGAGTCGATATTTATGAACTACTTGTAAATTTTGGCTTATATTCGATTTAAGGTGCGAACGGCTCCAATTTTGTGTAGTCCAGTAGCCTCACTTTCTGAAACCTAATTTCAGCAATTTTGAACGTATGCTGAAACTGTTTCTAGTTCGCTATCAGAGATAGATCAGCTTGCGCTCGGTCTTATATTACACAATCTACATATCGCAAAAGTTGTGCGCCACAAAAAAAAGTTAGAAGAAGTAGCAAAATTCAGTCAATAACCTGAAACATTTGTTCGAGACCTGGTGGCTCACGTCGAAACCTCGCCTAGTTTGAAGCATGAGTTCAAAAACTGCTCTGACCTGACCACTTCGCATATGCAAACATATGTATGCCACGTAGTTGCACGAGTTATTTTATTATTCAAAAGAAAATTCAAAATATAAATGCTTAGTCAGAAAACCATGAAAAGCAACTGATATGCAATTCGGTCTACGTTGGCGACAGCCGAATTTCTGCCACTAGACCATATCCCAATTCATGGAGTCTCGGCCCCTTTCGATTATAAATTTTCAATTTGACCCTTGTGTGTCGCACCGAAGGGCCGAGAAAGAAAGCTTTGTAGTACAACACGCATCTATGGGAGGCACATATGAAGTCAAAGCTATGTATTCATTGAAAGACACTTCTGCATCAAAAGTGGGGTAGCCCCATTTATTTGTTTGTCTCAACTTGATTAGCTAGTATTTTTTGGATCGGGAATCCAAGTTGCTTTTTTCCAATTGCTACTCCGTTTTGAGCGTTGCTTCCTTCAAAAGCATCATTCATTTTCTCCAGTTCTTAACCCCCCCCCCCTACATGATGCAAAAAATTGTGACAAAAATCAAGAGGATAACACACTTACACATGTCGCCTCGGTTTGTTGAGCAGTAATCGAATTTACCGCCGCTTTCGGATCATCTTCCGGACGAGGGGATGTGTAGAGATTTTCCTTGACACAAGGAGAAAATCCAACCATTGCTATTGTGAGTAGAGATTAATACACAGCCTGACTATATCATTTAGTATTGCGTCGATTTACTTCCCCATTCACCGGCGTTGTTGGGAAGAGTTCGGCAACTAAAATGGAAGTGTATAGATGAGAATTAATCGATATTTCGATGAAAAAATAACACGACGCCTAACGACATTGCAGACATTTCGAGGCTAATCCGATGTTAGTGTTTTTTCGAAGAAGTTACGGGAGAACAGAGAGCCATAACAGCTGAATCCAGCAAAACTTTGATCAGAATTTGTATGAGCTAAGAAAACGCTAAGTCGGACAAATCCACCAATCGCTGCTAGAGAAAACGAGAAGAAACGTTCAGGAATGAAGGGCGTAGGAGGGCTAATCGACAAATGAATCGACAGAAAGCCGGATTCATTAAACCATCAAGCAAGAAAGCTCTCAGAAAACTGGTGCAAATCTGCTTACACTTGCAATCTAAACATTCAATAAACAGAACAAATACATCAATTGAGAAAGCTTGTAATGCACACCTATAGGTAAGAAGACTGATATGATCAAATAAAAATGTTTTAGAGTTTCGAAATAAGTGAGAGACATTGCAGCATTGGAATTATGCGGCATCCACATAGCAAGCACTCGACATCGACTGAACACAACCTGGAAAAGTAGCAAGTGTATATTTAATACACTGTAGCAAGTCAATTCCGCAATAACACAACGGCCAATATTTGTGATTACACGCTCAAAATTCAGCAAGGCCGCGGGCTTCATCGCGCTCGAGAGTTTGGGGAGCTCGGGAGCAAGTTAGGGGCTTATACTTGTGAAAATCAACATTGCTTTACGGATTCAGGGAGGGGATTAATTGTTGGGATTCTTAGCAAAGTACAAGAGCCTACATCACGTAGTGTATCACAACAAAACCTGTTTTGGTACATCGCTGTGTCCCCGTGCTGTGACGAATTTCGTGACGAAGTGCTGGCCCTTTTACGGCATCGACGATGTCCTGCGAATTGTCCACTCTTTTTTATTCATACTCAAGCTGCTTAGCTTCTTTACATTTATATTAGACTAATTCACTTTGGGCATAAAACTTGTTTTCTAACGCTCAGTCACTACCTCAAATCATGGTATTCTAACAGTAACGTCTCGCAGATATGATAGCCTAAAAACGTTACCCATCTGGTTTTTTATGCTTGTCCGCAAAAGTACGCAAGCTACGTCCAACCGAGCAGCGCGCTGCTACTGCCTGTGGGTCGTTTACTGCTTCTCTATGAAACAACAGCATGTTTTCGCCTGTCCTCCAGCGAGGTTCTCGAAGATGTGTATTTCGCTCCCTTTCTCTCCTTCTTGTAAATAACCTTCGAAAATAAAGTTGGTTGCTTATCGACCAACCACAGCAGCGCAAGGCAGAGAGCCGGGAATGCGAGCGGTCTAACTTATTCAAAGCAATGCTGTGGAAAGATATAATGCCCTGAGAATCCCAAGCAACCGGCGCAACGCAGCGTTTGATGCCTTTGACGCGTCGGAAGGGAGTACCAAGACTGGAATGCTTCGAAGAAGACGCGCCTAATGTGGGTACCAGACTTATCCGTTTCAGCCGGTTTATAAGGTTCACTCTTTCACTATTGGTCAAATTTCTGAGTGGACCAATAGCGAGGGTAAACCGCTTGAACGGAGTGAACCGGTTAAGTCTGGTGATAGGTAGGAGGCGCAAAGTTGCGACAACATGCGAAGCGATTGCCTATGGGAAGAGGCGCTTAGACACAGACCATAACAGATTGGACTGTTGTCGTCCATATTAAGTGCTTCTTCGGACGAAGACAGTCAGCCCATGATAGCAAAGCCGGGGTAAAGCGACTATTAATCTTTGAAGAGCGAGAGGAATAGTGTTCGCTACTGCTCTGGACAATGCCTCCATCGGCAAAAACCCCCATGCCCCATAGCGACGACAGAACTTCTGTCACAGAGCCCATACTGCTACCAGTGGCACACCCAGTATCGTGGGGGAAGAGGGACAAAACTTGTTCCGTATAAGGGCTTTAGTCACGCATTGCGAAATTTGTGGATGTTTTCTGAAGATTTTGCGGTCCAATGACGGAATTTTGAAGAAAAGTGGTGTGGCAGGAGCCATAAATGTGAGAAAAATCTTCGTAAGACTAAATTAAATATTCAAAAAAATTTAAATTATTTCTATCATCTGCAAATATAAACAAGTCGCTTCCCCATTCTTATAGCTCATGTGACCAACCAAAAATTTTGCGACGCATTCTCGGGGGGAACCATTGCGATTTTTGGTAGCTGAGACCGTGACAAGAATTGTGGAATGGTCATCATTTGAAAACTTCGCATATATGACGGCGCTTCTTGAAGGGTACGATTCTAGTAAGAGTGCACAAAGTTTTGGCGATATGTACTATTACACAAGGCCAGGCTCAAAAGTACAATAATTCTCAGAAAAAAATTGCACCAATGCACCACAAATGATCTCGTTTTATGACTATGCTATGCCCCACCAGCAATGAAGCTAAAGCAATAACATAAACAATAAACAATAAACAGTAGTTTGATAACACAATCCTTCATGCTACCAAGAATTAGGACTTTTGCCTGGGTGTAGGCCCTTTTGAACCCTTCGCGCCGCTGGCAAAGCTAACAAGTCGCATCTACAGTCAACGGGGAAAATTCTTAGTTGAAGCATGTAATATGCCTGTGCCAAAACCTATATTCATGTTGGACACGAAAGATGTGCAAAATTGAACGAGTACTAACTCGTTATGGCAGCGGACATTTTGACCAATCAGAGGCGCGCGGTAATAGCGAGCGGTTCAAAAGGGCCGTTTCCCCTTTTGCCTTCCCTAACCCTTAAAAAAGCGAATGAAATTGATTAATAAAAATCCTTTTTGTTGGTAGTCGACTGTCTTGATACTTCTACCGAAAAACTGCTATGTTGAATGTTCATCTATGCTTTCTTGACTACCTTTTCATTGTCCTCAATGTTCCATGGCCAAGTGAGATATATTGATTTGGCAACAATGACTTAATTAATCAAAAATTTCCAAATCGTGTACCAAAATGTAAATCGTGCACCAATACCAAAAGGTAAATCTCCTATCTAGCGAGATAGAGACTCACTTTGCTTAAAAAAACAGGTTTTGGTCCTTGTTTTTTTTTCAGTATTTTTGTTTCCCAAAAACCATTGATATTATGTCTCTTTACCGAATTCACCATCTTGTTTATGTCGCCCAACAGAGCAGAACGAGTCTTTGTTACAAACTTTTTACACTTCATTTTGAAGGTTTGCATCACTCTTCGTTCCATCTTCAAAACTTATCTATCTTGAAAGAAAAAACTTATCTAACTTATCTTCTAAGTTATCTTAAAACTTCATACAGTCTTCTTTATTGTGTAGGTGTCGGAAAAAAAGTAAAATATGAGGGAAAAGCCAATCTTAAACAGTAGCAGCGCATCTCTCAAAATCTTTCTTGTAATTCACAAAAATCGCAATAACGTGACATTCAGTGATTTGTTTAGGCTTTCTTTTTGTAAAATTCCATGACGTAGTCATTGCACTTTCTCAGCGCGGCAGAGAAAATTCTTCTTTTTAGCGGTACAGTCTATTTGGGTTAAAGGTGGAAACCCAAGACCTTACACAGTAACATCAGACTCAGAAGGGTGCTGACTCCAATATGCGCATACTAGAAATTTGAGCGCAGGATGAAGGAGGTTCTAAGGGTTTTAAAAACAGAACTGTGTAAATTGCGGCTATCAAGATATAGTGTTTTTATTTGTGAGAAGTATATTTTTGTAAATATTAAGCGCTATTCCTTTGAAAGATCTGTAGAGCCTCCCTTTCTCGAATATTTTAAACTGTAACGTCCGCAATAATTAGCAAACTTCCACAAAATTAAGAGGGGGTGATATGACCCTCCCTCTTGTTAGAAAAAAAAACTTTGGCGCATATGTAGGGTTCTTAAAATTTTAGGGTGCCCCAAAATTGCATCAAATGTACTGCTACAATTTTTCTGCTTCTCAGCTTCCCCGGATTTAAGTGGCATGTTTTGAGGATGGCTCCAGCTCGAAAATACGGTACAAACCTGTCATTCTCTTTACTACTGTAGGATTACGGTAGAAACTGGCACAATGTTGCCGTTCAAATCAGCGCCCATTTAAAAATACAGAACTTTTGAAAATTGTTGTAGTGAAATTTTTAGACTAGCTGGTTTTGAAAACAATAATTTGTGCAGCTTACGGATAGATGGTAAAAATAGATGGTTGTTAGATGGTAATCAGATTTGATAATTATTGGGAAAAGCACTATCAAGGTCTGTCATAACTGTTAGACTAGAAATTACGGTTTCAGCAATGCTTATTAGTCTAGCAACAAACCAACAGCTTGTTAAAACAATTTTTTAAGGGATACATGCTTTTATTGGCACAATACACTCGAAGGTTCTAACCGTAATCCAGCAGTGAAGAAGATGGATCCGTTTTTTGATCTGTCTTCTAATATAAGTGCCCAGAATCTTGCCAAAGTATCCATAAAGTACTATTAGACATCGAACTTCGACATATTTTCTGGGCTCACAGTAAATCCATTCATAGTTGTGTGGCCATTCACCAGTTATAAATCAAAACACAATGTCTCACCACTTTTTGCGCAAAGTATTCGGCGACTTAACATGAGTATCACACTACCTCAACTTTGGCACATCAGATTATGGATGGATCGGAATGGAAGGCTGCACTGCGACTACAAATAGAAGCGCTGGCTCGAAGGAATGAGCTGCACAGACGTTGCAACAGGGAGTCCGTCCGTGATCGAACAGTCGTAAGTTTAGAGGCAGCGTCTAAGCAAAATCTTTGCTTCCCGGATTAGTATTTAGACTACAAGAAGGCCTTGGGAGTAGGATAAGTACGCTGGTCCGGTTTTCTAATGTGGCCTCTAGATGGAAAAAATGAACCAGAGCCCACGAAAGTGCTAACAAGCCACACCCGCCCTATCAAGCTCCACCCAATCACAGACAACTTGTCTTTATAAGGCTCATAGAAATCGCGTTTTCGGGGATTTTGCACATTTTGCACTTAATATCTGTAATCCGCCATGAAAAGAACTCAGAATGACAAAAATGGAGAACAAAAACATTTGGATGGCTGCCTTTAACTGAAAAAGGAAGTGTAAAAGACCGAGATAACAGTGAGAGTGAGAGTAAACCCGTGATAAACCTAAACCATAATCCTAATAAATCCTCGGACACTATACCATGTTTCGCAACAATATTCTCTTCTAGGAAATGGACAGCAGGATCATCAAGCTGCGAGAACTGGTCTCCAGCGATGCAAACCTTGCTGCACAATTCTATCTAGAGTGTGTCTGTCACGCTGACGAAACAGAACGAATACTGAATAGGTTGGTGGTTTCTGACACGCGCCATACTTAATCCGCTTGATCCACTTCGTCCGCTTCTCTGGTAAGTGGTCTGACCAATAGCGAAGCGGATTTCCATTTGATCCAGTTCATCCACTTCCCTACTAGTACGTTCACCGATCTGACCAATAGCAAAGTGGATGAAATGGTGCGAATATCAAGTATGGCGCTCGCTCTTTCGTGCAATTTCTTTTCGATAACCAGGTAATTAACCAGGTAAATTTAAGAACTTCCTCCCGCGACAAGAGGAATCGTAGACACAAAGCATTACGCGAAGTAGCTTCCACTCTGAGCGTCCCAACAACTCGATCTATCCCTAGCACGGTTAGCTAAGCCATAGTTTCTACCTCTACCTTTCAGCTCACAGCTTGCCCAAATCCATTTTTCAGACTGGTATTGTTGAGGTTATCCTTCCTCAGCGTACCCCGTCCGTCCAACAAAAACGATGGTGGGACCATTTTACCATACATCGTAAGCCAGAGGAGTATGAAGATGCTCATGATGAAGTGCGACATTTATGGAAAACACAGGTAATTCTCGCTCAGTATTATTTTTTCCTTCCAAACTTAGAACTTCTACAACGAGCAGAATTTTACTAGTCATCCAATTTCGTAGTAAACTTTAAAAAAATCGAGTCAGCTGAAATGCGTTTATACATTGACTTCTTACAGACTGACTTCTTCTTGTGTTCGTTGGGACTTATAGTCGGTATTGGCAATATGTTACGGTTTCCTGGCAAAATTTGTGAATATGGAGGTAAAATGAAGCTTTAAACAGTATACAGTGTGTAGTAACAGTATAGGGCGTGATTTTCTTTCTTTCAGCAATATTTTTCGTCCCCTACTTCTTCTGCTTGGTTTTCATCGGCTTTCCCATGTTGTATTTGCACTTATGTATCGGCCAATATGCTGGACAAACGGCTGATGTCGCATTCAGACGCCTGATGCCTGTTTCTTGTGGTCAGCTATAGTCTAGTGAATTTCCGCTCAATTCAGTGTGCTTACGGTGCCGAAATTGGGAAACCAAATTTGCGCGTGAGCAAATATTAGGGTGATCCAAAAGTAATGGGGCACCTTGATTTTTTTCAACATTCTTTAAGATTTCTTTCTGATTAGCTATGAACGCCCAGCATTTTTAACGCCTTTGTATAAAGTGACCTTCGCAGGTTATCTTGACAGCACCTTGCAGCACCTCACCGCCATTTCTTCGAGTGGCGCTTTAAAGAAGTCAGACAGACTTTTTTGAACGCCATCCGAATTTGGGCTCCTGCACTGATAGTCCCTCGACATATGGCATACCACTCAAAAGAGCTTTCCAAGCTCTTTTCAATGATTACTTGAGTATCCAAAAATAACCTATCATTTTATAGAAAAGAGGCACTTTATTCAAAAAAGTGCGGTGTTTGGCGCAGATTTTCAGACTAAAATTCATGTTTTGGACCACAATCTTTTGAAAATGAGAAAAGTCGAAGTAATTTGCATATGTATAGATAAAGCGTAAAAAGCACTATCAGAAAGCAACTGCTAAGTTTAGGCTTATTTTACCTTGATGAAAGAATAAGTAATATCTCTCCTGATACCCAATGCTATATCTTCTGTTCTAAAGCCTTGGGACCACCGAGCTATTGTGGATTTGGTGACAGTCCCCTCACCCATTGCTGCGCACATATCTTTGGTAGGCTCACTTGTTTTACTGCGGCGCTGCTGCTCGAAGTTCAGAATTACTTGAAAAGATGAGCTTTAATTTTAAGGGTTCATAATAACAACGCCACGTGACAGTGCCCAACTATAGACCTCGATTAGAAGGTTTTGTTATGTACTAACATCTGCCAAAACTTGGACTTCCAATTAGCTTTTCTATTTGAGAAAACTGCATTTATTCTCTAGCTGCCCCATTACTTTTGGATCACCCTAATAGCTATCATGCATCCCTCACAATTGTTCCCATACGAACCATCAATGTGGATGCCTTTCGATCGTTTTACCACGTTAACTCCAGCAAATTTAAGGCGCTTATTCAAAAATTCACATGTTAAAAAGATCGAAAGGCAGCCATGTGGATGGTTCTTATGGAAACAATTCTGGGGGATGCACCATACACCTGTAATGCCGGCCACTTGCGCGCGCTGAATGCCGGGCATTTCGTGCGTAGCAATTTATTGACGACAAAATTGAGCGGAAAATCTACTAAAGATATATTATTTCCACAGCATGCCACCTCATGCTGGATTTTCAGGTCTCGGCTGGGCCTTCGTTCTGGCCGCTATTCCGCTTATCATCTATCATAACATAATCATAACATGGTCGCTCCAGTATCTATGGTTTTCTATGCTCTCCGTTTTCCTGTCGGAACCTCTGCCATGGGAAAACAGAGTTATGTTCTAAAAATGACGGTATACATGCCTAGGTTTCCGCTTTCAAACCACTTAGGAAACAGGGCAAGGGGCCTCCTACCGCTCAATTTGTCACACAGTACCATATTCTCGGACCTTTTCATTGGCCTTGCATATCTTGGCAATAACCTTGCCGTTTTAGGAATAACAGAAGAGGACGCCAATGTGGATTTTTCGCCTTTGGGCAATGTGACACTGACGTCATCTGAGCTCTTTTTCCAGTGAGTGCAACGTTTTGCAATGTTTATGGAGCTTGTCCTGTTTTGATAAGCAGGGGAAGGGGGAGGAAGATTAGGGATACAGCAAAATTTTTTGAATGAAGCGTGTTGGATAGACAAGCCCTACGACCAATCTCTCCATCTCTGTTAGTGTATTCCATTTTTCAGTCTCGATATATTGTCTTTAACGGACTATACCCAGCTGAGCATAACATTGCCTGAACGCCATATAGTTTTGGCTTTGGCCACTGCTTGGCTGATCGTTTTCATGGGAGTGTGTCGTGGAACGACTTGGATGGCTAGGGCGATACGATTCACAGCTACGATTCCATACTTGATGGTGACAATTGCTTTCTTTATTCAGTAAACATCAGAAGGGTTAAAGGCAACGTCCACTCAAATCTGAGGTTAATGACATTGCAAAGCTATAGAGTAGCGAGGCCTATAAGAGAGTAATCACCCAATAAGATGAACGCTGAAGCAAGAACTGTTTTCTGGAGGTAGAACAGAGGTCGTCCCGCCCTTCAACATAGGTGGCCTGAAAGTAATGAGGTGGGGATCCAGGAAACCTGTAGTGCCGAAAATCAGTTTACAAGGGAAGGAAAATTTCCGGCATTTTTACCTGGATATTCTGAAAATTCAATTTCCGCCTGTAAGAGGTCGCTTCACCCACGCTGATGGGCGGAGTGACCTTTGGCGGAAATACGTTCTAGTGAATGTTTCACTTTTTGCAGCGGACCTTGGGTGTACTTACAAGGGAGGTTATTCAGTCGAAGTAGCCTTTTTGAATGAGTTCCATACGCTTTGAAGAGCGTTGCGCTGACAATCTGTTTTCCTTATCTGTCAAGCTCCTTTGGAGCCGAGTTCTGAGCCTTCTTGGAGCAGAAAATTAAGGCCGAATCTAAGTGAAATAACCGTTATGGTCTTTTCAGCTCTCAATTGGAGCATTGTCGAGTATGAGTTTATCAGACAAAAGTTACGTATCGAACGAAGTGCTCTAATAATTAACACTGGATTATCTGAGCACTGCTGGACGGACTTCAACCGGAATAGCATTCAGTTTTTCAATTTCAGAAACGCTCATAACTTGGCGTCCAGAAGAGTTTGGCAAATAGTGAAGGCAGACTGAGAATTATCTTTCATTGCTCATCAAGGTGGTATAGGAGTCACATGAAAAGCCACTTTGACTACACGGACATCCCTTGTTAGTTATAGGCCCCACCGTTGTACAGCTATCATTAACCTAAGATTTGGGTGGGCTGTGCCTTTGAGACCAAATGAGCTTGAGCTGCCCTGGAACTCTGCACCCTTTCAGCTCTTCATCCTCCTTATTCGAGGACTATCTCTTCCTGGAGCTAGTCTCGGATTGACTTATCTCTTTTCGTCAGCTGCAGACAACATCTCCTCGTTGAAGGTGGCATACTGACTTGGTCTCCCGCACTTCAAATGATAAGTACATTTTGCAGATGTGGTCAGCTGCTGCTGAACAAGTGCTTTTCGAAATGGGGGTCGGTGTTGGAGCGGTCTTTTCCGTAGCAGCATACAATCGTTATAGGAACAATGTTTACCGCGATGCTGCATTGCTAATGACCATGTAGGGTTCTTGTTTTCATTTTTTTGAACGACCACAGGTGATCCTCCCGATAACAGAAATGCGTTGACGTCAATCCTAGCCAGCATGGTAATTTTCTCCTTTCTGGGATTGCTGGCAATCTCATCTGGGCAAGAAATCTCGACCATAATCGGCCATGATCATTCGTACATTGTCTTTACCGTAATCCCCAACATGACATCTCTGATGCGATGGGGACCATTATGGATGTGTATACTTTATGGCACAATCTTCTTTACTGCTGTCGATGCAGAGTTCTTGTGGTAGGCTGAATGTGTGGACAACATTCCAAGAATTTATAAGCATTATCTTAGGGTTGAAATGCTAGCTTCTTCAGCGATGAACTTGCTGCAGTCAAGAAATCGACGGCTGAATTCAAGACTTATTGCAGTTTTATGCTGTTTGGGACTCTTGTTGGAGATCCCAATCTGTAGCAGTGTAAGCCACCCCTTGTTTTGTTCAAACTGCTCCTGATCCAAGAGATCATTTAGGGAGGATTTTTCCTATTTCATTCTATGGACTCGCTCATCTCTAGTTTATCGACATTCATTCTTTCGTTCCTTCTCCTTATTACCGTTAGCTATTTATACGGTATGTGGCGTATCTTTCAACATCCTTAAAGGGGGAAAAGGGGGGGGGGGGACTTACAGTCAACGGGGTTTCTAACCTTTCGATGATTTCACAAAAGGGCTTTTTTGGTGACTACAGTCTGTGTCAATCGTGAAGTCCCTCCTATGCCAATCGCCACGCCGCATTCGCGTGCATATGATTTGGCATCCAAACTGACGTCAATGATTGGGATCGTGCGGACCCTCGCGCTGCGGATGCACAGCTCCTACGATAACAGACTTACTGATTGACACAGACTGTATATCATGTTGAACTGTATATCATCTTTGTTGTTTTGACTCCGCCGTCCTTGCAGGACTGAACAAGTTTCTCAGCGATATTTCATCGATGCTGCGCATTCCACGAAGAACCAAAGCAAAATGGGCACATCTACACATGCACGAAAAACTGATGGAACTCTTTGGACCTTGTGGAACGTTCATTAGGTTTTCTTGGGCTTTGGTGTGCCCATGTTTCTTGACTGTAGGCCCAAAACGGCTAAGTTGGGGCAAATACATCGTTGATTTTTCAGATTCTAATGATTACGCATGCAGTCAGCTATAGACGGCCCCTTTTCTTTGGCTGTCATGTCCCTGTGCAAAGCGAATTTTTCGCCTGGATTTTGGTCCATGCCCCTCTTTCAGCAGCATTCATTGGTGCAATCACGGCCATAGTGAGGATACGGCAAAGCGGCAAGGTATATTTTGTAGTAGGAAGTAGTCTTTGCAGCAAAATCCTTATTCAAGACAATCTCATCATTATTCGACTCGTCTTCTTGGCATCAGCAAGTCACTACAGTATCGTACGATGAATCTCCTCCACCTAGTCCTTCGAGCAGAACGCAGCCGAAGCGGGAGAACACTTATATGGTGCATTGCTTGACAACACCTTTGATTTCAGCAATCAATATATCGATTTTTCAGTACATCGATCCGGCGTCTCGTGGACCTACAGTTCGCTCCGTGTTTCAGCCAACTTCGGATAATTATGCGTGGAAATGTGGTCGCCTGCGAGACTGGCAGGTAAACAAACGAAAACTCAGCTTCCGTTTTGAAGCTTCTTTACTGCAGATGCAAGAGACAGCATCGATCGATCAATCGATATCACAGCCGTCATTTGCTGCTTCGATAGCTTCGCAAGGGACGTTGACACTATTCGGCTCACCACCGGCTTCGAATGGATTCATGATGTCAGAAGAGACCACATGCTCCACAAGCAGATCCAGTGACACAAAAGTCAATGAGAAGGTAAAAGGAAAAGACAGAGGGAAGAGGGCGATATAGGGAGGGGGTAGTGAAAGAAGGAAGCTTCATGTCCTTCACGGTATTAACTTTTCATATCAATTCAAGCGAACGAAACACTTGCAGGTGATTTATTTTTGAATGGATAAGTCAGAACATCTCTAGCTTCTACCGTCCAGTCGTTGACGGCACAAACTGGCCGTAAGTTGCGGAGCATGCGCCGCGCGGCTAAATGCTTGTGCCAGCACAAACGCTGTTGCACACGTCGTGCTCTCGTGACATTCCAACGGCGCCACGCGTACCCGCAATTACGGCCGTTCTGTGCGGTCGATGACTCCACAATGCATTCATGCTCATCATCTGCCATCTTTTGCTAGTAGTGAAGCGTAAAAAGATGGAGACGGCGTCATTGATCTAATGAGTCTACATAAAAAAGCGGCAATAACTTGCGCCCCGCGAATAAAAAACAAAGGGAAGGAAAATTGTGCAAATATCATTCGTTCTCTCAACAGACGAGCAAGCTTTGCGTACGCCTGATTAACAAGTTTGATCTTGGACAACTAGCCAAAACTTCTACAGAAAGTTTGGGAAGGTCCCGCCGGGTCACCTGAAGTTCCATAAACGTGCTGCGGAAGTTCTCGGAACACCTAAGCGAAATTAAATCTTACTCTTATGACTGCGAGTCACTCACTATCACCTGCACCACGGCTGACATTTTCGAGAAAGCACTCTAGCTGTCAGCGAGACAACGTCGTAACAGAACACATTCAAAGCTTTGCGGAAGTACCGGCAGGCCATGGTGCTACGGAACCACTGGCATTTTTCGAAATTTCCGTAGTGTATTGTAACAAGTCCTGGAAGTTCCCGTTCTCAACCAGTTCTGACGCGAAAATCCCGCGGAAGTTCCCATTTCCAACGTTTCCACTCTCCTAATAGTAAGAGAATCCTGCGGAACCGCTGCAAATTTTGCTTGTCCTGCGGAAGTTTTGGTGAACTGTCTGAGTTCACGACTCCCTAATAATTTTTATAATAATTTACCAAAACGCATGAAAACACACTCGTAAATTTGTTGGTCAGACGTACACAAAGCGTGCTCGTGTCTCTTAGTCGACCTTTTCAGTGTAATACACTAATGCAACCACGTATTGTCCTACCGCCTTCGTCACCAATTCCGCGCAAAGTGCGAACCAGTAGACAATCAAGAAAACTTACATGTTCTGAGCCGCCATTGAAGGTGGAGGTACTTCTTTTCCCCCTTATATCGATCACTGTCGATAAGCAGTCATTACAGATCCCTTCACTAGACCTTATTCCATCTACTCCACCACCAAGAATCTCCCCTTCTCGATCCGAGCCACCTGGTCTGACCACCGATAGACCAGCGGCTTCTGTAAGAAGTAAAAGTGCTTCACATAGTGAATTTTCTGAAAGTGACGATGATAGCGGTGGGTGATGAGTTTCCCGGAGGACTAGTCGCAAGGGGCCCGCTATTCGCGCGGACATCTGCAACAACTATGCACCTCCTACACAAGTAAGAGGTGCGCAATTGTAGCAAATGTCTGCGAGGGACCTCGGCGACATATAATCCTCTATATAGTTCAGCATGCTCCAGATCGTGCTCAAAGCTTGGTTTTGCAGAATCGGGCGTAAACCGACAACGTGTCACTGTAATTCGACGCTTCCAATCTGAAGATTCGGTGCAGGCTTTTTCCACAGAATCGGTGTCAAACACCCCAGCAGAGATTGGCCGACAACGGTCCCTGAGTTCAGTAGCGATATTTGATGAGAATGATAAGGTAATTTTTAGCTGGAAAATTACAAAAATGGTGGGAGGAGTGCAGATTTCAGAGCGCCCGGTCCACGCAGACATTGTCGCAGTTGAAGCGTCCTCCACCGATTGAGACGCCAACGCGATTTTGAGGACATTCTATTGCTCACCCTGTAGCTTGACATGATAGGAGATATTATAGTCTGACATATCAGGAGACGTATGCCATTAATTATTTCGTTACCGCTTTTACAAAGACTCTCTAGAGACAAAAAGCCATACCGTTGCCCCAATCAGGAGAAACACCCAAATAATTCATGCAATTGCTTCTAGGGAAATTCAAGGAAGCACAAGATATAGGCTCTGCTGGATAATGCACAAATCATGCATCATTACTCATTGAAGTTTGTGCCTTGTCCGCGCCGGCGGTGTTGTTCCTCTACCCAACCCTGGCTGGTATCCATTCAGAGCGCATTTTTAGCATAAAATCGCCAATAGAGTCATGAAAATATTTAAATGCAACTTACGAGTCGAGTGCATGAAACCGCTCATATTGCTATAAGCTGAACTGGAGCTGTGATGACTCATGCGCGAGTGCTAAGAGTAGCACGCAAGCCTCTGAAGCCGCGCGCCAGACACGCTCGCGGGCGTTCAGCCTACAGCGACAAGGGCGATTCCGTGCAGTAGACAATCGGTGATAGTTAACCACGCCTTATTTCCATAGTTTTTTATGTCTCTGCTCACTCGATTGCACCAATTAGATGTTAGGTCTTGTACCAATGATCTCAAAGTATTGCATAAACTAGGATATGCTTTTCTGATATAAACCATTTGTTTCTTCTACGAGAGACAGACTGCGGCATTTTATGCCATTACACTCCCCAAACAGTCGTTTTAACAAACAATTCATTCCGATACTACAATGTACTGCCGAAACAATAATTAAACATTTGAAAATTACTTTAACGATACTTCTCTCTAAACACTGGGTTCAACTAAAACGAGCGATAAATGGATGGAAGCAACACGCCAGCAGCCTCAACATCGCATAACGAAACACTACCAAATAGGGACGCATAGCTCAGCATTACCAGAACAGCATCATAACAACAGGATGAACAATATAATAATCATGGAAGCGTAAATGAACACTATAAAAAATGGTACTATTAAAACAGTATCTCGTAAACTCATATCTCTTAGCCGTATAAATTTTCTCGTTCAGAAATTGCTACCGTAAAATATGGATTATTTTCTTCCAAAAAGTAGGAGTACAAAAAAAATCAAGCGGCGATGAGGCGCGGTGGAGCCCACCGAAAACTGCGGCCCTGATGTTGCAGAGTTGCCGATTTGGGACCTATGGCAGGCACCATACTTATCCGGTTCAGCCGGTCGTCCAGTTCACCCCTTTGCCATTGGTCAAAATACTGAATTGACCAATAGCAAACGGGTAAAACGGGTGAACCGATTGAAGGAAATAATACGGCGCCTGCCTGTTGCTGCACAACCGCAAGCGGAGCATGGACACGCAGAAAGGATGTGATGGTGAGATGATTAAAAAGCGACAAATTAAACTCAGATCATAAAAAATAGAAAGGAAGTTTGAGGAAGAATGTGATGAACGAAGGAAACGGTGGGGGAAACACTTTGTGGAGACGTTTTTGGAGATGGGCAGTGTATAGAGGAATTATTACTCCCGGCCAGATGCCATCGCACGATCCGAAAGACAATAAAGAGAAAAATGAGAAAGTTGAGAGATAAGAGAAAACAAAACAATAAAAAAATACTGCCTTCAGTGCGATTGGTCTTGACTTATGTGTTATCTAGCTCACGTCACGCCCAACCGCACCAAAGACACTGAAACTCAACAATTACATTAAAAAAGGGTCGTCATGTACGAGAAACAAAGCCGATATTGACGACGAGTATAACAATGATTTACTACGAGGAAATCAACGACGTTCTAGGCCGCTGGGAGCAATGACTCTCTTCTAGATGGATGGGGGAAAGGACTTTCTTTTTTTACCTCTTTACCGATATCTTGCGCAGGCATACAAAGGGACCAGCTCAAAGTGCTGCTAGATTTCTGAAGAATTTCAAGTGGCTTGTTGGAAAACATTTCCAGCGACCTGGGACTATTACCGCTAAGAAAAGTGTGCACGATTGGCGACAGCAACAATGACGCTCAGAGTGACGACCATACAGACTCACGTATAACGATTTTCAAGAAACCTGATTGAGCTCATCACAATGTTGCTCTCACCATGATGCAATCAGTCTACTACGTAAAAAGGATTTGATGAAACATATGGAAGAAGTTAAACAAGCACAAACTGATCCCAGGCGTTCAAAAGCGATGCATAGCGTTTCCTTTCAAAAGAAAGCTCCTATTACAATCTGATTTTTTGTAGCAAGAAACTATTTGACACTTCCTAACAATCAAAAAGACAAAAAAAAACGTCAAAAAGACAATACCGGATAGCTACCGAGTATGACATGTGACGAGAACCGGTGCCATAAGAATTTGTAGGATTACTAAACGATACTGCCAAGATAAATAAGCAAAATATATTGAAAAAGGAGAGAGAAAGGAGGAGATATAGCTTACGCAAGCCCATACAAGAATATGTAATGAATTGTACGAGGTCCCTCCCCTAGTGGGATTTGCGACCAGCGGTTAAGCTTACGATTTTTGCCTGGGACGCAGTGTTCTCTAGCACCTATCTTCTACAAAACAAGACTAATTGTTGAAATTGCAATCGCAAACACGACAACACTGACTATGATTGGCCGTGAAAGGGAAACGAGAGCGAGTTACCGTACTAAAGGCGCTTGAGAACTCGGCGGTGGCGAAGATGGAGTTGGTGGCACAAGTGCGCCGCCTTCTAAGTGTCTTATTGCGTCCAGTATCGTCTGCAGCGAGCGATGAGCGGTGATGGACGATGAGCTGAAGGCGGACGGTGCCGACAGTGGTCCAGTGGCAGAATTTGGCGGCATCGATGGTGGTAACATCGGCGATGGTGTTGGTGGCATCGGAACTGACATGCGCGGCGACACATCGACTGAAAGATATATTTTTAAACTGTCGCGTAAGCTGGTTTCTTGCACAAGATTTCATTTCTTTTCGCATCCTCTACCATACTTCGTAGCTATCAGGAGGAAGAGCAAGAAACCTATGTACCTACTCGTCAAGTATAAAAGAACGGAGATGTCGTGAAAAAAAACGACGTATATCTCAGTCCTTTTCAAATAAACTCGCTTGTTCTAACTTATGTTATAGAATGTCTCAAAAAATGAAACGGACGTTCAGTCGCTAATAACTCACTTATATGAAAACTTCCGCGGACTTTTAGGTACCGTACTGTAGGGCAGGCTTCAAATTGGACTTGCACTACAAAATGTATCACCTTGCATCTTCTTTAGTGTAGGATTATAAAAGGAACTTAAGGAATTTTGCGACAGTGACACTGTCCACAAACATGTACAAAGTTCTATACCAAAATAGCGGGCCCAAAAACCTAACTACAAAAGTCTAATCTGTTATTAGCACATTGCGCTTGAAGCTCCTACCGTACCCTACAATAAAAAGGGCGATAGAAGACTGAATTTGTATTTAAGTTGAAGCCAGCCCTACAATACGCTACCTAGAACTCCGCGGAAGCTTTTGATACAGAAGAGTTACTAGGGATCACATGTTCGATACATTCTTGAGATGCTCTACAAATACCATGAACATAATGCAATTGGACAAAGCAGGAAGATAACTGAAAAAAGAAAAAGCTATCTAATGAATAGCACGTGTTTGACGAGTAGCAGTTGGAATCATAAATAATACATGATTGTGAAAAATCGCTACTCACCTGAGATTGGCGCTATCAATGGAGTAGGCCTTATCACTGAATCATGCACAGTGATTGTTGTTGGTGTCAGTTTCGGCGCAGAATTCACTATTGGCGTCGGCTGCGGCTGTTGTGGTAGCTGCTGTTGACGTTGCTGTGATGGGCTACTGGAAGCTGGAGTGACCGCCGTGCTCAAGCCATTTTGATACATCTCTCGCATCTGATTCAGCTGTTGCTCGAGGAACATACGAGCTGTACGCTCGCGTTCCAATGCCATTTGAAGGCTGTCTATCATCGAGCGTTGTTGATCGAACTCGGCACAATCTTCGACTAAAGAGTAACATTCTCAGCGTGAAATTGGGATTAAATTGCATACTCACTCTCAATTTTGGGCTTCTTGCCTCCAGCCTCATCGTTATCAAGATAACGTGAGCGTTCGCTTTGCAACTGTTGTATAAGGTCTGCGGTATGTTGGAGTATCGCAGCTTTCGACAACTTTTCACCTTCCTACAAATCGAGATCAAAATTTCGAGAACAAAAAAGCGGTATGAACATTTAGTAAAGGAAAGTACATAAAACAAGTTACACGAAAGCAAAAAAAGCAACCTTACTAAGTAACTTACTTTTCGAGGCAATAAAGCACGCAGCGATTGGAAACCGGCGTTGATGGACTGCATGCGGCGGCGTTCATTGCAGTTGGCAATCTGCCTTCGCAATCGTCGATCTGGATCACTTGAATTCGGTGATAGAGATGATGCGGAACGTGACACAGGCCTGAAAATTCAGCCATAATGTATATACAAGCTGGATCACATAGCTGCAATCAGGAAAAATTTGCATGCCCTTCCAAATAGCAACAACCCGCTCATAAAAGACAACCTTTCTTGAAGCGTGTCATATTTCCACTAATGCTTGGTCAAGAAGTAGACAATAGCAGTCCTCACAGCCATGTTTTTTTCTTTTGAAACGTAACCCATGAGCTTTTACCACGCCCAAACTGCACATCACCAAAGTCGAAGCCTTTGACGCGTCCATCAACAACATTCGACTTTGGTGCTAGAATGCGAACTTCATGGCTGCCCTACGCTATCTCAATCGGAGAAGAATACCGTAACCATGGAATTTTTACAGCATTTGAGTGCATTCTTTGAAAAAGTGTCAACTTAAGGTCACTATGTGGGCAGACCCATGGTACGCGACCATACAAGAAGACTTGCCATTCATCGCTAATTTATAAAAGCTGAAGGTCTCAATTTGCAGTACAATCGTGAAAGTAGCATTGACGCTAGATGAGAGTTGTCGGTATCTTCAGACCATACTAACCCTTTCTTTCAAGTAACTACTTCTAACAATAAGAGGAGCTATACGACCCCTGCACGACAACCAGCACATTTTTTATTTTGAAAATAGAAAGGATACAGCGCGGATTTCGCACCTGGAGCAGTTATCCTATTCTGAAAAGCGAAATATTTTCGGCATTCCCATGAGCCTCTAAACCCATGTTCAGGTTAGCAACAAACAACCCAAGATGTTATTAACTAGTAGAGAAAAGTCATTTACGCAATTCTCTAATTCACGTAGGCTATTTTGAGAATTTTCGCGATCCATTCCATTTTCGGTGCATTGCTCCCTGTTTTCAAAGCTGATGCTCCAGCTAACAAAAACCTAAGAGGAACAACAGGGATATGGCTAAGGCACATAGCATTTGTCAAGGGAAATCTGAGAAAAAGTTGAGACATGGTGGAGTCTCGTCCTCGGTGAAATTGGCAACAAAGATTCGCACGCTCACGTCTCGGATAATTTTTTTGACGAATTTCCTCTCACTGTGGTCACAAATTCGTACAGACGGAGGCCACTGCATCAATAGAAGACACGCTTCCGTACAGGCTTTTCATGCCATCTGCTGAAGTTTCATGCATCACAACTACTGGCTGAGGTAGCTGAGTTTCTGCAAGAACCATAAAAACTCGATGTGTATGATTCAACAACTGTTGCTCTTCCTCCTTTGCATCCGTGAGCGATAGCACTTAGAAGTGCAAAGAAAAAGGATCCCCACGAACAATGGTCTTATTTACCCTCCAAAGCACATCTTCACAGATGATTGCAAAATTGACAATCATAGTTTGTGCCTGAATTCGAACTTCTTCTACCATTTCGCTCAAGTTGGAAGCATTGCAGAAAATGCATGCACTCACTTTGGGTATTTCCATCGTTGAAATCGAACATATGCTGACTAGACTGCCTAATCCGTCAGAAAAGTATCAGAGATGTTTCCGAAAGTATGATTATAAATTAAAATGCCAGAAGAAACTAATTTGGAATACTAGAATAAATCAGCAGGCTCTACAGTCTGTTACCGGCCCTGCTTACAGCTTGTACGTGTTAAGCAGACGATAGCCATTTCTTTCATCTCCTTTCTGCAAGCAAGATACTTCAACTTTTGTCCTCAACATGCACAGAAAGTGCATAGGCTCAAAAACTTTGCTGTCGTCAAAAAAGTGCGGACTCATCACAAGAGAGCATATGCGATTTCTCGGAATCTTTGCCTTCGAGCTGCAAGCCTTTACACATACTCACACACACACAAATACACGTACACCAGCCGGCAGAGAGCGGACGTTTAGTCACATGTGGCGTAGCTGCGGATCAGCTGTTCACGTCCCAGCACAGGCATATCGTAATATGAGAACTCAATATGGACGCATTTGATAGCAGGGAGCTGTCACATGGTAGGCAATGATGGTAAGCGTACCATGCCAGCAAAAACTAGACAGGAACGACATACATCAAAGTTGTCTATCAAAATGTCCCGTCAAGTTAAGAAGATCCATACTAGTTTATAAACAGCCTACTGCATGGATAAGATCCTCATCAGTTACAAATCACTGAACCAAACAACACTAGACAACACTAGTTAAGCCTTGCGATTACCGAAGGACCTTGTAATCTTTAGTAAATAATAAGAACAAAACTAATCACTGATAAGAAGGCTGAAGCATCTGATCACCGTTTTTCCGTTGAAACACATACTGAAGAGTGATCTGAAGCAGCAATGCAATCATCTGATAGAAAGCAAGAACCGGAATGCGAAGGTTTTGCAGTTATGAACGGTATTGCTGGACAGAATCGTTTGCTGTCTTGTATACACAAATGATTCCCTCGATTGATCGGCGCAAGATACCGTCTATATGCTACGATTCCAGATAGAATTTAGATAGAATTGTATAAGACGTTCGTGATCAGAAACACAGCAAATGAAAAGCTTCTTTCTGGGTATAGCGATTTTGCCAACAAGGACCGAGATGTTTCAAATAGAACGCAACAAAAGCACAACGAAGAAAAAACGAGTCCCATGAGAAACGTAAAAAGCAGCGGGTATCAAGTTCAAAAGAGGCTTCCTTTAATTTAAGCCCCGGGCATACCTCACGCGGTTTCAATCGCCACGCAATCTGGCAGGCTGCCAGTTGACTCCACTCCAAATCCAACACTGGCAAACCACGAATGCAGAGCGCGGATAACCTTCCGCGATTGACAAGATGCCCTATCTTTTGCACATTCAAAATAAAATTACGATGAATTATAAACAAATGGAGTATGGTCAAATCGTGTCGCGATTGAAATCGCGTGAAGTATGCAGGGGCTTTATTTGGCAACTAGAACCTCACTGGCTGGTTAGATTCACGAAATGGATGGACGCTACTTGCAACACAGAACGCTTACCCAGTAAAAACTAGAATTCAGGTGCTATCAAAGAAAGCTAGAAACCCCTCAGCTCTTAAAAGGCACAAACTCTCGGGCTGCTATGATCACGGTCGCATTATTTAGAATCTTAACTTCGTGGAGAACGCCGGTACCGTTGACTGGTATTCCACATCGTAAGCAGGTATGCGCCTAGTCGCACAATATAACCCTCTACAAAAGAAGCAACACAAGTGAAACAACAGCTTGAACGATGGGTTGCGACAACCATTTAGCTACAAGCGCAATTTTTCTTCCAGAAGAGTCGCGCACCTTGGGCCAAATTTTCAATACCGCCATCAACTTCTTCCAGACACCACACGCATCCGCCCAGAAGCCCTCAACCAAATCCAATGTCAACGATTACCCTGAAGATTGGGCAAGATAACCTTCGATTTCTATACCCTCAACAGGACCCATATATCTGCACAGCATTTGAAGAACTTCGTCTTCGTCTCTTATTTATAATATCAAACCACTGATACATGTTGTTTTGCGCAAGTCTTGCGACCAATTCCGTACTTCTATTCATTAGTTCAAAAAATGCGAAGCTTTGAGCTCCACGCGGCTTGTGATACGATTCATATATAATAGTAACTGCCCATTTTGATAAGATGTTCCCAATTCCAGAACTCTTTCAACCCTCAACTCGCTAGCGCTGTCTGTACATACAAAAGACAATGAAAAGGAAAAAACAGTCAAGCGAATATTACCGCACCTATTCGATCCTATTCCATTCCCTTTGCCCGCATCACTATGCGTGCCATGGGAAGCCCAAATTGGTTGAGGAGAGAAATCTTCATCATCCTCATTGGCAGTGGCGTCGAACTTGTCCGAGACGGCCATTTCTTCATCAGCGCTCTCGGATCGTACCATTTTCGTGTCGTCGGACGTGCTTTTACACACCTCGCCAAGTGTTACCTGAATGCTAGAAGTAACCAGAGAATGCATGGCAAAGGAACGCGTAAAAGTTTGAACAAAATCGATTCATCATTCGAAACGAATGCTAGTAGCGGAAATGCTCGATGCATACACAAATTACGGTTCCAAATAGTCATAACGTGCGCCTAAAAAAGCTTTGAAAGATAAGATGGAAAGTGCAACGCTCCACAGAACGTCCTGAGTGAGAAAAATCGCAATCGAATTCCTCACATTGCCTTGTTTTTGGAAACACATGATGGAAAGTTTGTGTCCTCTTTTGTACTATGGCAGTGTTGCTGTCGAAGAAAAATTGACTTGCAACAGAGCTGGTTCAGAACTTTCCAGACAATGTAAACAATGCACTGTTTGTGCTGTTCATGGAAAAACGTCTGGAAACTTCGCCATACTCTATTTGATGCTGCATTACTAGTGAGTTTATCTATTGTCACTGCAAACAAAGCATTTCGACAGAACTGCAGAAAGAAGCGATTCACTATTTTTTATCGCCTCTATGCGAACCATTGTTTTCTTGAAAAAAGGCCCGCTTCGAAAGATATTCATAAGCACATAAACCTACAGCTTTTTTAGACACAGACCTATGTTGTCAAAGCCAGAGGCAAATGCAATGCAGACTCTCTCATACATAAAAGCTATAAAATTGCAAAAATGCAAAATGAAGTAATGAGTGATCCGGCACGGCGCCGTAAAGAGGATTACAATAGCTGCATATCAGAGATTTTACCAGTTTTCCAGCTGATCCTCTTCTTTTTGATGTAGTCATTAAAAATTCTGCGTGCGTAACGCTGCAGTCGCAAAATGCATGGTAATTCAGTTCAGAAGATTTGGCTTGAACTTTGACTGAAATGTCTACTTTCGATGCATAAAAAATATGATGTCTGCTGCCTAAACATCTGTTTTAGGCTTTTCAACTAGAAAGCAAGCTATGGAGAAATTTTGCTGTAGCGATTGGAGCTGATATACGGAAAGTTTAATAATTGAGACCTGTTAGCGATGAGAAGATTGAGCAGATGAGCTGTATAGAGGAAGAAATTTGCCATAGAAAATGAGAAGAAATGATTTCTTAGATGGCGTAACAAAATTTGACATTTTATTTCAATAAAACGATGTATGTTAGCAAGTGCAGCAAAATGATCGACTCAAAGAAGAAGTGAAGGTTTTATGTATACCTAAACGAAAGAGGCTGGAAGTCAAGTTTGACTAATATATGAATGAAATAATCCAAAACAAAAGGCTATCAAGAAGAACAGAGTATGAAAGACAATTGTTACAGCTGATCTCAATTTGGCAATCTCATTTTAGTTGCATTATCCAAATTCAACGTGTTAATGCGGAAGGAGAGCACTCATCTGCGAGAAATATATAAGACGTACTATTAGATGATAGCACATGTTTCCAATCACACACTCGTTAGAAGCCAAGACTAACAGGTGGATGGGAAGGAAACAAAGTGCTAGAGAAAGGAAAAAACTCTGAGGAGTCATTAGTACACATTTTAAAAGAGATGTGCATAACTCTGTAAAGTTCGAAACATTTTCAGCTTGAGCACGGATGCGAAAAAGATTATTAATTGAAAAGATAGGTAGCAAACAGATCTTGCAAAAAAGTACAGTACAAAAATGAATCAAGCTAAAATTGTGCTAATGTCAAACTGAATTCAAAAATCGGATTTAAAGCAAATATTACAGGAAGAAGGCATACTCTTGCAATGGATACTGCAGATGGGATGGCAAAACTTGACAGTAAACGACATACCATGAATGCAGCACAACAAAACAGAAAGCGAATGAAGAATAATTGAATGAGGCGGAAACCAGGTGTGCTAGACGCGCACAAGTGCAGCCACAAAAAGAAGCAATCAAGCAGAAAATAGTGGGATATAAGAAATTCCCGACAGTCGCAAAGTGAGTGAAGGTTCAAACATGTGACGATAGGCGTTTTTGACAAAGAAACGTGCCAGACGGTCATGCCGTCGGATGACGAAGGCGAATTTTAGGCCCGAAATCGTCGTGCCGCGACCGCGACGCATCAGCTGGTGCGCTGCGAAGCTCTGCGTCGACGGCGGCTGCGTGCTCTCTCTCGCTGCTCTCGCTCGACGCACTGCTGGCGGCGTCGACCTTTGCTCTTCGGATACAGCTGTTACGCGCGACCGCCGAGCGACTGATAGCAGCGGCGACGGCAAGGCCTGCGACGGCGGCTGGCCACGCAGCCAGCAGCCACGCATCACGGCTGCGTTTCCAGCTGTTTCCCGAGCTAAGAATTCGAAGGAGCTGGCATTCTTGTGCGTTGTAGCTACGGTTTGTCCCCCAAAAATGTTCCCATAGGTCCCATCAACGTGGCTGCCTTTCAATCGTTTTAACATGTTATCTCCAGCAAGTTTATGGTGCTTATTCAAAGTTGACATGTTGAAATTATCGAAAGGCAGCGACGTTGATGATACCTATGGGAACATTTCTGGGGGACAAACCATACCTGGTCGTAAGTTATCATAGCTGAAAGCTGAATTCATCCAATGGGTTCATCCAGTGCCTCTCTTATGAGAATCCAGCTGCCGCCATCAGATTCTCATGTTGGAAGCGCTGGAGAGACCTATTGTTAACTATTATAGCATGTAACTCGACCGTCTAACTTCCACTCGAGGATGCTATCGTCGCCTCGCAGCACTAGATCGGGCGGAGCATAGCGAACGATGAATTAACAGCCTACTTATCTCACAATACAACGTGATTGCGAAGTCCACAAGTCCGCAATGCTCCGCCTATTTGCTGCAGGGAGACGATGTTCCTGCTCTGCGTCTCTGACCTGCGGCACGTATGGCTAACATATTGCCAACATGCAACAACATGCAACAACACGTTCAGATTTTGGCTTATAGCTATGGTAGGCGCCAGACTTAGTCCATACTTGCTTCGGCAGAACGTGGCTTGCGCCGCGTCCTGCTGAAGCAGCTAATCCGCTAAGACTAGTGCCTGCCTTTACTGCCAACTGTTCATGTTGTCAACGTGTTAGCCTTGCGGGTCGTAGACGCAGAACAAGAGTAGCAATTGTGGAATGGACGCAACGCACAAACTCCATTCCAAACTATGAGATGAACAGCAAAAATCATCATGACTTATAATAAAGCGCAAAGCGCCCGTCTGTCCGTGTGTGTATATCTGTCTGCCACGAAATTTATAGAGCGAGCTGCAGCCAACGTTGGAGCTACAATTTTGCGCAGCATACGGTACCAGCATGTAGGTCCGCCATGCTGAAGAACGATCCGTCCTATAAGCAGATCCTTCAAAAACTGGGCTTTAAACGGGTCCACGCTTGTTTTGTCCACAGAACTGCTGCGGTAATCAGACTTTTTGGAGGTGAAGAATTCGTCTGGAAAGCAAATTTGTTGGCTTCTATAGGTCGTCCGCGCAGGGCGCGGAGAGTGCGCAAGATGTGTATCGCGGGTCACTCCTCTTCCTCGTACACTCCCGCCGCCTGTTTTCTCTGCGCTTCTTCCAGTCGTGAACTGCCTTTAATGTACGCAACAGCGTTGCTCTCCGTGCGCAGCGCGGGCGGCCTATAGCTAAAAAGTGGGCTTTATTTTTTCGCCAAAACACCAGAAAGGAATGATTGTTTAAATCGTCAAATTGTCAAGATTTTATTTAGAAAGGTTAGAGAATTATTGCCTAGAGATGTATCACACGATGGCTATCGTGTTTGGCGACTATCATACCAAAGCAAACTCGGTGACTACTTCATATTAGCATTTGCTCTTGCAAAAAGTTGCTTTTTTAAAGACACCGATATAACATGGACAAGCTCAAGGAGTGAGTGGTTGTTTACAATTCATTCGTGATAGTCAGCATTTTGCGGCGAGTTCCAAAGCGATCACCATGCGAGAATGAGGAGGGATTAGTAGGGCCACTGGCCACTGGCCCACTGGCCAGTGGCTTTGCTTTGCGAGCGATCCACTCTGATGTCTTAGTGCCCGTCCATCGTTGTTCTTCTCACAGTGTGACCGGCCCATCGATGCTTCGCTTTCGCAACCTATTCCGCTAGGTCACAAAAAAGGACATTCTTCTCATATCCGTACTGCGAAATCCGACTAGATGTTGCTTGTGTCGGATCATCTTCAGAAGACTGCGCTCGAGCGCTCTGTGAGTGGTCCGTAAAGCTTTCGACGTGGCTACTGTGTCAGCCCAAGTCTCAGCTGCGTAGCAGAGCGCTGGGAGAACGGTTCACTCGAACAGGGGGACGAAGTTTCGTTCGTCAGTTGGTTGGTGGCTTCCTTCAAAGGCGCAAAGGCTGCCCAGGCAGCCCTTCTTCTCCTGCTAAGCTCTTCTTTCAAGTCGTTCTCCATGTTCATCGAACGTCCGAGATACACGTAAGAAGACGTCTCCATGATGGGGGTGCCTTACCATTCCATCTGCATCTTCGCAAAGGGCATTCTTCATGAATTTAGTCTTCTTCTAATTTATTCGAAATCCGATCTTCTTCCCTACTCCGTTTAGTTCCTTCAGCATCGTCTCTGCTTCAGTGATACTGCTCGAAGAGAGTGATGTCGTTCGCAAAACGAAGGTTGGATAGGAATCTCCCATCAACTCGTACGCCGCTCTCTTCCCAGTCCAACGACTTCATCACCCACTGCAAGGCCGCGATGAACAGTTTCGGCGAGATTATGTCGCCTTCTCGGACCCGCTTACCAGTTGAGATGGTTGAGGGACAATGAAACAGCCGCATTGTCTCGGCCAACGTCCTCACGTAAGCTGGGTTTTATTGGGTTTGGGTTTTAATCCTTAATCGGCCAGCGCTGACAGGTTGGCGTTGGTTTCGACGCTGTCAAGGCTTTCTCGTAGTCGACGAAGGTTAGAACGAGAGGCGGTCGGTACTCTTGGCAGACTTCTATGACTCTCGAAACCGTCTGGATGTGGTCCATGCAGCTGAATCCTTTGCGGAATCCAGCTTGTCCTTGGGATTGAGCTCCATCCAATGTCCTAGATATGCGAGCGAGGATAATCTT